TACCAAGCTAATGAAGGCAAGGTATTGATTACCCAGCCAGTGAAGGCAAGGTATTGATTACCCGGCTAATGAAGGTAAGGTATCGATTTCCAAGCTAATGAAGGCAAGGTAATGATTACCCGGCTACTGAAGACAGGATATTGATTACCCAGCCAATGAAGGCAAGGTATTGATTACCCAGCCAGTGAAGGCAAGGTATTGATTACCCGGCTAATGAAGGTAAGGTATCGATTTCCAAGCTAATGAAGGCAAGGTAATGATTACCCAGCTAATGAAGGCAAGGTATTGATTACCTAACTAATGAAGGTAAGGTGGCGATTACCCAGCCAATGAAGGCAAGGTATTGATTACCCAGCCAGTGAAGGCAAGGTATCGATTACCCGGCCACTGAAGACAAGGTATTGATTACCCAGCCAGTGAAGGCAAGGTTGGAATGCTCAGCCGATCAAGACAAGACGTTGACTACAGATAGAGTTATGGTCAAGATTGTAACACAAACATTTATCTCATAAGATGTTCAAAAATACACCCGTTCAAATTTATGCAGTGTTGAATTCTACGTTCAAAGTTTTCAACTGTGGACATCAAAACGTGACGCGTGCAAGCTCGTATGATGCGTTGCATCATACCTTCCGTGTTGTTGGTTGCTGTGCATAAACAACATTTTTCAAATAGCCCCATAAAAAGAAATCTGGACTTGTCAGATCTGGTGATCTTGGACACCACTCAGTAATGTCACTACCAATGCCTATCCATCGTTGGTTCAAGAAGTGACGAACCATTAGTGAGCGATGACACGGTGCACCATCCTGATGAAGCCATAATCGTCTTCTGGTTTCCAAGTCCACATCTTCCAATAATTCTGGTAACTCATTCTGCAGAAAATCAAGATATGCTGCGCCGTTGACATTCCCATCGAAAAAATAAGGTCATATCAGATAACGATTTATTATACCGTACCAAACTACGAGGCTCCATCTATGCTGATTATCAACATAACGTACCCAATGAGGGTTCTGGATAGACCAATAATGACTATTATGGCGATTGAGTTGCCCATTACCATGAAATGTAGCTTCGTCCGAAAACATGACGTATCTAAAAAATTCAGGATCTTCACGAATCCTTGCTTGTGCCCAATTGCAGAATTCGAGTCTGTGGCGGAGATCATCTGGCATCAAAGCTTGAGTCAAAGTTATGTGATACGGATGAATCTGTACAGCCGCAAAAATCTAGCAGCTGTTGATCTTGGGATTCCAGTACGTCTTTGAATTTCACGCAACGAGATATGATGATCCAAATCAACCATTGCCAAAACGACGAGAATTCGTGGATCATCGTTGTTCGACATCATAATGTGACGACGAATTCTGCGTATTCGGGGTCGACGTCTCTCTCTTTGCTCGATGATTCGGATTCTCACGTGGTCGGGGTAGTGAAGCCTCCCTGGGTAATTTTGGCGGTAATACCTTGCCGCAGCACGATATCGGCCTTGACTTGCCCCGAGAGACAACAGAATATCAACAATTTCGTTTCTCGAATAATCCGGCATATTCCCTCCTTTTAAGTCGACTAAGAAAATTATACTTGAACTATCCTGAGAAGGACTGTTCGCGAATCACTATTGTCATAAACAATACTAAAAAAGTGTTATTAAACAATTTAGTTGAAACTTTGTAGGATTGTCCGGAATTACATCGGAAAAAAGAATGGAAATAACATGTTATCCCACAAAATAGAAAATAACACTTCTCATGAAGGCTTTGAATACACGAAGTCAACTTTGAAAATCATCCTGAAGTTTAAGCTCAAGGTCACTGTTATTTGACCCTACAATTTTTTTGGGATATTGGGGTTATTGAATTATTGGGGTTATTGGGTTGTTACGTCTCGTGCATCAACTACGAATAGCTAATGAATGAGACGTTCCAATATGTTGACTAGTGGTCGGATATGTCTCACTTATAATAAATATATGTGGAAATGTATGTCTGATAATTGTACTACCTTGATAATCGTAGCCTTTAATTGTTGATAAAATGTAGCAGGCTCTAACTGCTTGTTGGATTGTATGAATGTAGCAGGCTCTAACTGCTTGTTGAATTGAATAAATGTAGCAGGCTCTAACTGCTTGTTGAATTGAATAGGATAGGTTTGAATAATACTTGCACGATATTACTTTGTAACAGTCGCGAGTTTATTAAGAAAAATGATCATCAATTGTCGGACCGGTGTGTACGGAGTTGAGTCTTACAGGTGCTTATTGACTGACTGACGGACTACTGATCAACTGCCTGAGTGTGTTTTGTTCATTGATTTTTATATCTTTTATAGTTCTTTTTCAGGTCAGTATTGCGATATTGTATGACATTTTGTTTTCGCTGATTATAAATTCTTGCATTTTGGTGACTTAGTTTCGGAGTGTGTTTCGACAGCTTTTTGCTGTCGTGTGAATAGCTTAGCAGTTTTGAATGTGCATATGTTACAAAAAGGATGCGTCGTAAGGCTTAATTTCGGGGAGTCATTTACCTCGCGTTTAATTAGCTTTTTGCTGACGTGCGAATAGTTTAGTAGCTTTGAATTTCGCAAATGTTTATTTTATAAAAAGGATGCGTCGTAAGACGTAACAGGGTTATAGGATTATTGGGTTATTTGGATTATTGGGTTATTTGGGTTATTGGGTTATTACAATTAACCTTATTCTTGCCCGATCATCCCTGTGCATAGATGAAGAAAATCATAAATCTGACCCCTACATGACCATAGGCGGGGGGGGGGGGGTTAACCGCACCCCACACATAATACGTTATCTAAACGTAGAATTTTCCGCTCTTTCCGAATCCGGGATCAAAAATATTGGTTCCTATTCAAAAAATGACTTTGACCTTCAAATGACCTTGAAAATAATCTCAAGGTCAAATCGGATTTCGCAGAAAGGTTGCCCCCATTGTCCCAAACAACTGTTGTCTGAACATTTTTTTTGTACAACGTCTACCGTCGAAAATTTCGGGGTGGTTCCATTAAAATGGGACACCCTGTACAAATCTTCACTCTGATTATTTTTCTTTTTATCGAAATCGTTTGAAATACTTCCATTATTCTTAAGTGCATTATCTTCTACAAGTTACTGTCCTTCTTCTGTAGCGCTGAGAGTTATATTATTATCATCCACACTAGTAGAAGATTGATGTTCCATAATATCTGACTCACTCGCATATATTTTGATGTCATTTTTATTTGTATTTATCTCTTCATCATCCTTAATCTAATTTTCACTATTAACATCATTATTTTTCACCTTGCTTTCAAGTAACCGTGTTACTCCTCTCTGTAACCACGACTCTAGGAGATTCCATTGATGTTGGAGTTTTGATCTTAAAAACTTGTATTTTCCTTTTCCTTGCGATCTGCTAATCTAAAGACGAAGGATTGTTTTATTCATTCTTTCTATTTTAAATGATGGAATTTGATATAAAATTTTACACTCTATAACTTTATTGGCACTTTTTTTGAGTGATTTCAATAATAACTAATCGTGGTGCTTTCATATTCATGTTCAAATAAACACATCCAATGAATCGTGATCCAAGTTTTGTGATCCACTGCACTTTTAAGTAGACGTATAGTCCAAACATGGTTCTCAAGTCAGAGATATTTACTTGGAACCAGTATTTTGTGAAATCCTTCTATTTTTATATTGATATTTGTTTTTAAAATCTAAAAAAATATTGAAGTACAATTACTTGTCAATACAATCTATTGAGATTGATTTTTCTGACTTGGATAACCATATACAGGGTGTCAATTAAGTCCCGGGACGCCTGAATATTTTCTGAAGTACTTCAGTTCTGAAAAAGGTCAAGGTCATTCCTACAGTAATTTTGAACAAGGAATCCGATGGTGATCTTGGATTTGACCTTGAACATCAATTTTGAGGTTATTTTGAGGTCAACCTCATTTTTTTAAATAGGAACCCCTATTTTTTATTGCGGAATCGGAAAGAGCGGGAAATTTTACGTCCGGATATGTATTGAGGTTTGAGGTTGAGGTTACTCCTAGAGGTCAAATAGAGGTCAAATAATGAATTCTTAAAAATTTCGCGAGTTCAGAGGTAAAAAAACAAATAAAGGTCATACCATTGGTAAGTCTTAACGAGGAACTCAACGGTGACTTCGAATTTGACCATGAACCTCATTTTTAAGGTCATTTGAAGGTCAACCTCATTTTTTCTAATGGAAACCCCTGTTTTTGATAGCGGATTCGAAAGGAGCCCAAAGTTTTACGTATCGATGTGTCGAAGAAGGAATCCAATTGTGACCTTCAATTTGACCTTGGACTTGACCTTACAGGTTATTTGAAGGTTAACTTTTTTTTTTAATAGGAACCCTTATTTTTGACACCGAAAATCTATAGAGCGGGAAATTTTACGCTCAGGTATGTACTTAGGTCGCAGAAAAAGTTTGACATTGGGGTTTACTCCAAGGTCATTTACCCACAACGGTTCAATCTCCACTTGACATTTAAGGTCATTTCAAGGTCCACTAGTTTTTTTGATTGGATATCCTAGTTTTAGTACCGGGAATCGATAGAGGGGGAAATTTTTCATTCAGACAGCATTTTTTAAAATTATGACCTTACTATCGTCCTTATTCTTACTCTTTGCGTTACCCAGAAACAACGACGTGGACGTAGTAAGATCTGTTTCCTTTGGGGTGCTTGATTAGCGTGAGTCCTCTTGCCTCTCACGATGGGGTGGTTGATTAGCGTGAGTCCCCTTGCCTTTCACGATGGGGTGCTTTATTAACGTGAGTCCCCTTGCCTCTCACGATTGGGGTGCTTGATTAGTGAGTCCCCTTGCCTCTTACTTAAAGGTTCAAAGTTTAATGGAGATGCTCAAACTGAAATCCTTCAACTTCTTGACAAAAAGCTAGACGATTGTAAAAATGAGTAACAGCATCGCGAATCATCGCTCTATCGATTCTTGCAGCCTCTTCCAGAATTCAATTGCGCAGTTCCTCTATGTTGTTTGGTTTAGTGGCATAAACTTTATTCTTAAGGTAATCCCAGAGAAAGTAATCGAGTGGTGTCAGATCCGGAGATCTAGCCGGCCACTCGATTTCACCCCTTCTTCCAATCCATCTTCGAGGAAACTGAGCATCCAAATATGCTCGAACGTTTTGACCAAAATGAGCGGCTGCTCCATCCTGCTGAAACCAAGTTACATCGTAATCATAACCTGCTATCTCTCTAATTCGTTGTATTATTTGATCCCTAAGTAACTGTTCGTATGAAGCTGCAGTGAGATTACCGTCGATAAAGAAAGGGCCTACAAGAGTACCATTAAAGATACCAGCCCACACGTTCAACTTTTGTGGATATTGTGTGTGGTTTTCCAACATCCATGCAGGATTTGAGTCAGACCAATATCTGCAATTGTGTCTATTAACCTCACCATTTAAAGTGAAAGTAGCCTCATCTGAAAAAACTATATTGTATTAAAAATTAGGCTCTGCATCTATTCTATTCATCATCGTTTCGCAAAACTCGAGCCGACGATCCGGATCATCTTCATTAAGCTCCTGTACCAAATGGATATAATGATGAATATAAGGAATATAAGGATGAAAATGAATGCTTTTCAGAATTTTTCGTACGCATTCATGAGAAACGTCATGCTCATGCCCAGCTCTACGTAAACTAAGATGCGGATTTTCAATAAATGCTTGAGCAATTTCAATCTGCTTCTCCTCAGTTGCAACAGATGTTGGGCGACCAGTTCTCTGAAGATCACTAATAGTCCCAAATTCTGCGAAGCGCCGTACAGTCCTTTCGACTGTAGATTTTGAAATAGGTGTTTGTCTATCTTGATTACGGAAATTATTATTGAACAGTGTGCGCACTTCAAGGTAAGATCGAACTCGATCTTCCCAACCACGCATCATCAACAAACTTATCCGTTCTCGCTCCGAAAGTTTAGCATACGCCATTTTTTTTTAATTAGATAAGAATAGTACACGAATTAAAACCAAAAGAAAAACTTATGAGCTGCAAAGAAAAACGAGTTGTTCAAAAAGAAATGTTTAGAACTCTAGAATGTTTTAAACTTTAGAATGTTTTTAACTCTGGAACTTATTATGTTCGTAAACTATCAGCCGGAAATACAATCCAGGAACAACAAAAAAGATCAAATAAATTCTATTTTTTTTTGTAAATGCTTAAATAGCAAGAGTCGTTAAATTCAAAAATCCCTAACTCATATACTGTAATGCAAACTTCTGGACATTAATCTTTGTCTTTACCCACTTACAAATTTGAAATAAGTTTGAAAACGGTTTAAACAAACGTTTATTTTATCAACAATCATGTTCTTTTATAAACATTCCTTTTAACTGACTATTCTGGCTTGAAATTTCTTACTCGGGGGTTTTGGGGGTCGCTGAGTTCGAATCTACTGACAAAATTTAGATTTTATCAAATCCAAGATGGCAAATTCAAGATGGCGGATGAAAATAGAAATAGCACATTTTTGGCTGGAAATCACTACTCGGGAGTTTTTGGGGTCACTGAGTTCGAATCTACTGCCAAAATTTAGATTTTTTTAAATCCAAGATGGCGAATTAAAGATGGCGGATGAAAATAGAAATCGCACATTTTTGGCTGGAAATCAGTACCCGGGGGTTTTGGGGGTCACTGAGTTCGAATCTACTGACAAAATTTAGATTTTCTCAAATCTAAAATGGCATTGCCATTAAACTTTCAACCTTTAAGTGAGAGGCAAGGGGACTCACGTTAATAAAGCACCCCAATCGTGAGAGGCAAGGGGACTCACGCTAATCAAGCATCCCTAAGGAAACAGATCTTAAAAAAAAAGTTAACCTTCAAATAACCTGTAAGGTCAAGTCCAAGGTCAAATTGAAGGTCACAATTGTATTCCTTCTTCGACACATCGATACGTAAAACTTTGGGCTCCTTTCGAATCAGCTATCAAAAACAGGGGTTTCCATTAGAAAAAATAAGGTTGACCTTCAAATGACCTTAAAAATGAGTTTCAAGGTCAAATTCGAAGTCACCGTTGAGTTCCTCGTTAAGACTTACCAATGGTATGACCTTTATTTGTTTTTTTACCTCTGAACTCGCGAAATTTTTAAGAATTCATTATTTGACCTCTATTTGACCTTTAGGAGTAACCTCAACCTCATACCTCAATACATATTTGGACATTAAATTTTTGGCTTCTTTGGAATCCGGTATCAAAAATAAGTTTTTTTGTTAGAAGAAATAAGGTTGACCTTCAGATGACCTTGAAAATGAGGTTCGAGGTCAAATTCGAAGTCACCGTTGAGTTCTTCGTTAAGACTTACCAATGCTATGACCTTTATTTGTTTTTTTACCTCTGAACTCGCGAAATTTTTAAGAATTCATTATTTGACCTTTATTTGACCTCTAGGAGTAACCTCAACCTCAAACCTCAATACATATCCGGACGTAAAATTTCCCGCTCTTTCCGATTCCGCAATAAAAAATAGGGGTTCCTATTTAAAAAAATGAGGTTGACCTCAAAATAACCTCAAAATTGATGTTCAAGGTCAAATCCAAGGTCACCATCGGATTCCTTGTTCAAAGTTACTGTAGGAATGACCTTGACCTTTTTCAGAACTGAAGTACTTCAGAAAATATTCAGGCGTCCCGGGACTTAATTGACACCCTGTATATATGGCGTGTGTGTGTGTGTGTGTGTGTGTGTCTCTCTCTTTATGTAAAAACACTAATAATCTGTAAACGCAATTGAAATAAAAAAAAGAAATATTCTATAATATAATAACACTGTGGTATACTAAAATGCAATTAAAATTAAAGAATGAAATATTCAATAATACAAAAACACTATGGTATACGAAAACGCAATTGAAATCAAAGAAAGAAATTTCCGATAATTGATGTTCGAACTCTAGACATCAACTGAACGATAAAGTGGCATAGTCGAAAAAACTCAAACCGATCATATGTTATTTTATTTTCTGTCTTTGTCGCATAATATAAACAGAATCGCATGTTGCGCTTGAGTATTTCGTATCTAAGCGCTCTGTAGATTCCTGTGTACACTAATTTGTTTTTAGCATTAAAATTTATGGCAAAAAGAACTTAAATATTTCAATTTAGCGACTCAAAATATATATAAGTAAAATTTGCAATAATTAGTGCACACCCGCTGCTTATCGGTCAATTTCATATTTACGAAAACAAGGATTCCGCGAAGATTGAAATGCGTAAAGTTTAGCACAGCTCTTCCCCCCTCACGAGCTATTCTTTTTATTTTTTATAGTGAAGTCATATTCATCGCAACTCTCAACGCGTCCAGACGTGCTGAAACTCTGCAATGGGAGGACAAAGTCAATCGTCATTGAAGGTAATTAAAATTATATCATCATATAAATAATTTTTTTTATAATAATAACGTATTCTTTGATTAATTTCTAGGAGGAAGATATTGAGGAAACATCCTCAAAACAACCACCACAGAATGACAATCAGCCGTTGCCGCCAAATAATGAACCGTTGTCGCCGCCGAATCAAAGTAAACAAGTGATCCACCCGCCGATTCCAATGGCCCATTGGAATGAGCCATATGAATATAACCTGCCCATTCCATCGGGTCATTCAAATGGACAAAACAACAGACGTGGGTGATGGCAGCATGGTCGACAACCGTAAGTACCTTCTCTCTCTCTCTCTCTCCTCAATCTCTCAATCTCTCAATCTCTCTCTCTCTCTCTTTGATTCGCATACATCTCCTTTAGGCACGTACTGTCATTCTCCCTCGCTCA